ATTTGTGTGACTGCCCATGGATTAGATGAAGACTTAAGGATGAAAATCTTTCTACTTTGATGTAGAAATGCTAAGTGTGTTGTTAAGGTCACTTGTGATTTCTGACTTAGAAATTTGCAGGGGGTGGAGAAGCCTTTAGTTTTTGGGGTTTTTTCCCAAAAGATGGATCGCCACTTTCAAGTGCAGACAAAGCAGGCTGTTGTATCTAATTTTATCTTAATTCCAACTCTCAGGAGAGCTCTTGGACTTTAATAAACAGTGTTTGTGAGGCACAACCTACCAACTCGTTGAAAAGTTCCACTGTCTCCAGAAGTGTGGGAAAGTCCAGTGGACTATTATTCAGGGAACATCTGTGGCAACAGCTCATTTATGACAGGGCTGGATGTCTCAGCAGCCCTTGGGAGAGTCTGGTTAGTACACGCTAACAAAGGAAAACCCAGAAACCACAGGATTCCTCCTGTCTGAAGCCACTATTTTGCATCAGAAAAGGCTGAGCTGACTCTGACAAATAGCAGAGAGTCACCAGGACTCATGGGTGCTGTTATGCCCAAGGATGATGAGAGCTGCTTCTGTTCCTCCTCCAAATGCAGCAGACACCCTCTTGCTTGCCCCAAATCCAGTAAAGATTTTCTTCTAAGGGTGATAAATGAAAAAAAATACATCTTGATGTTAACAAGATTTGGCTTTGTGTGGTCAGGGTGTTTGGCTGAGCGGGGTTCCTTAGCGTGTTCCTCCTGTCTGCAGTTGGTTTCCCCTCTCCCTGCACGTGTTCCTGGGCTTTCAAGGTTACGTTTCTAAAAGCATATGAATGACAAGAATTGTGATACAGGAGAAGCCTCTTACCCCCACCTCCCAATAACCTGAAAAGGCAAATTCAGTAATATGGTACCTGGCACTGAATTGTTTGATTTCCTGAGCTTTGTGCTACAGGCTGGCAATTTTGAGAGTCAGGTGGAGGAAATGCCTACACATGCTGGCATGTCCAGCTCTTGGAGCTCTTCTGTGATGGTTGACAAGTAATGTTTTATTTCTGTGTTCTTTTTTCCCCAGTGAGTTTTAGCAATTCTTGCTTCTCACTAGTATTGCATGCTTGTCAGGCTTTATTTCTCAGAAGAGGTAATGAATTTAAGTCTGTTTTCCTGTTCTGTGTACCAAGGCACATGTCTAGTAGATCTAATTAAGCTAATACAAAACTCTCCTTGTGAAGGAAATAGTATTTGAAGGCATATTTTTGTTGGCTGAATTACATTTGGAGATATAGTGAGTGTGTGTTGAAGGTGAACACAAGGAGAATTCAGTGTGACCAAAACTGTTTCCTCTATTAAAAAGCACCTGCTCAACCTCTGGAAAGAAAGGTTTTGCCAGTTGCTGAGAGTGGGATTTCTGTACTGAAATGGTACATTACTTGTGATTTCCAATAAAAATTGGAACTAGGTCCTATATAACTTTTTTGTCTCAGGGTCATACTTTAACACAGTGTTTCTTGACATGTTGCAGAACTGCATAGGGATGAGACAGTCTATAAATAAAAAGGAGACTGTGATAATATATTGCAAAAGTGCTGAAGAGAGAAGGTGGGAAACAACTGAGGCAGAATCTCCATGTACACGCACTTAGCTCAGAATATAAAGTCTTTATAAGATAATGACCTGTGTCACTGACAGTGCAGTGACTCACAGTACAGCAGTAGATTCTGCACTTAAAGGTCTGTCTGGACTAAGTGATTGGCATCAGTAAGATGTATCCCTCTAGAACCAACTCTGCCTGTGATTCAGCTGTAGGAGCAGATGGATGAAACAGGTCTCAACACCTTTAAGTTCTGAGAATTTTCCAGTTGTGATGCTAAACTGTGCACGTGTTTTTTACTGCTAGCAGTGAAATGATCTTTACCGTGGCAGTGGGAGCTGGACAACAACTGGTCATTGTCCTGGTAGTGATAAATGCTCCTCTCAAGCTCCTAGGGTTTGATAGCATGAGAGGGAGATTTATAATCAGATATATTTTATCTGTCTCTAGTTACAAGCACAGAAGAACCACTTGTGTTCGAACTTTAAATTAATCCTTAGAAATATCAATAAGATGATATAGTAAATGAGCGTTGTTAAAAGTAATGGAAAGAACTGTTTGTAATGCTATGCAGAGTATGACTGAAAATACAGTTTTTTACCAAGTTAAGTTAAAACATTTCCTCCAACTTAAAAAAGCTCTGAGCTGTGGCCCTTCATATGAGCAATGAAATGAATTATATAAGTGTTCATGCAATAAAGATCAGCAAAGACTTTAATTGTTCTCTCATTCTTTGTCCACAGTGAAATGTTTCCAAGTTAAGATGAAAAAGAATACTAAAATGAGTTGCTGTTCTTATGTGACTTGAAAACCATTATAGCTGGTGGGTTTTTGATTTTTTTGTACCCGCTTCCAGTTAATTTTTCCTAAAGGGTTTCTTAAGTAGTAGTCAAGAAGAACTTGGCTTCCAAGTTCCAAGAAGAGAAAGATTCTAGCCTGAATGATGGACTACAAGAACATATTATTTAAAGTATTCATTATCTGATAAATATTCCCCCAAAATACAGTATGCGTATTATCTTTTGATTTCTTAGTTGTGTACAGCAAGTTTCTTATGTGTGTACAGTGTAAATAAATCTATGCTGTGTGGACGTGTACAAAAGGGAGAGTTGTAAGTGATTGCTAATTATCTTACGTGGTTTCCTTCCTCTGTTTTATGTGGCTATTTTGGTAGCAAACTGTATCAGGGTACTTATAATACATAAAGATACAGGAGTTTTAAATTTAGCTCACACCAGATTTTAACTGCTTGTCAATCTGTTGATGATCTTTACCAAACAGCCAGGTTGAACTGCCCTGGATAAGCCTCAGTAATATTGTTTTGTCTTTCTTATGCTTAAAACTGCAAGTTTGGTCATCTTTCGGATACACTTCAGATTTGGATTTATATCATGTGTCAAGCACAATAGGGTTTGTGTGTCTGTGGTTTTTTTATCAGCTTAGCAGAGCACTGCCAGGAATCTTGCTACCTCTTGCAAAAAGAGTTGTTGTGAAGAGGGTGAGGTAAAAAAAAAAAAATCCAAACCAATTACAAATGTGAAATATTTAAAGGTTATAAAATCAAGTCTAGGAAAGGGTTACTTGGTATGACCATGAGTCTGCGTTAGGTTCATATTTAATGCAGGTGAGCCATTTCTCCATGGCACCCCTGCTTTGTTCAGTGCAGAGGACACAGTTTATGTTCTTGGTTTCTGCACAGGAACAAAACAGAAGGCAATTTTCTGCACAGCTGAACTGAGAAGAAAGTCTGCATCTCAACTTAATCTTGTCAGGGCTTACATAAGGTGCTGGGCTCTGTGCTTGTTGATTCACCTCCACTCCTCCCCCCACCGTTCACCTAAATGAACACGAAAGATGTACCCAAGCAGCAGTTGGTGTCACACAACACGCAAACAGATCCTCACACAGATGTAGTGATGTGAAAAGTGTTAAAGCAGAAATATTCCACACTGCTGTTCATGGACAGTCCTGTTCCTGTAAGGTATGGATGTAGGAAAGGATTTTAAGTCTAAATAGCTTTTCTTTTGAAAATGAAGTGCTTTTTTCATTTACGGCGTAATTAGTACAGGATAATTACCTCTTAGGTTAAATATTTTCAGTATAAAGTAAATGGTATGTACCAATATGTCAAGTGCCCTTTAGAAAAGACAGAACAGTGCACAAGGCACCTCAAATTTTACAATAAAATCATAGGTGTTCCTATGAAGCTGAAACCTTAATACAGCTGAGGGTTTACTTCTAGTGTTGCTTTCCATTTCTTTTCTCAGTCACGTACCAGATGGCAGCTAATCTATTGAGACAGCAAGGCAAGGCAACTCATCCCTTTTAAAAAAAACACTACAACTGCTTCAGTTTTTGGATAAGCACTGCCCAGGCTTTGCAGACAAGCCGTGTGAGAGTACACGGTGTGTCAGGCCAAAAGCCACACCATGTCACCCCCTCGGCTCATGAGGAGGAGATCGTTGCTTCCCTAAACTCACAGAGGAGAATTCAGCAGCAGCAAATACCATGTCAAGGAAGATTAAATCAAGGCAAATCCCAAGGATTGGCCGCACTTCACCTTGCTGTGCTCTGTATCAGCAGGTGCTGGGAGGTGATGTGTTCATTTTGGATAAGCTGCCTCCATTTTGTCCAAAAATTAAGCAAAAGGCTCTACTTGAAACTACGATGGGGAAACTTAACCACAGTTTCCTCTCTCCACCTCCTGTACTACCCTCCCTTCGTGGCCATATATAGCAACCGTTGCCACTTAGGCAATGCAAATATAAGGCTGTGGGAGTATCAGGAAAAATAGATAGAAAAACTGGATATCTATATAAAAAGGGCGTTTAGGAATAATAATAATAATTCTGTTGCTGCACAGCGGGGAAAGTAAAAGACCCCATCCACTCCATTGCAAAACACAAGTGTTTATCCTAACAAACACTCCAGACAACACTCCAGAAGATGCTGTAGTTACTCTTTTTGGCCTTATAGATAGAGTAATATAGATGAAAAAATGCAGTTTTGCTTTTTTCTGTGCACATGGACTCTCCCTTGAAAGACTCATGCTGCTGGTGCTGCAGACCCTGCTTTACTGGTGCAGCATGGTTATGCCTAGGGCACAGTGAGGAAAGGGCAGGTAGACAGTGAGAAGCCTCCTTGTTATCCTGTACCAGGACTGCATTCCCAAAGGCTCTCCCAGTTCCCTCATGTCTGTTACTGACGCACTACCCTCCAGCTGTTTTGGGGCAGGAATCTGGGATAAGTAGTAGAACACTTGCAAATTGAGTTTTAATGAAAATTGTCGGGTTATTTGCATAACCCAGATTTGTTTGTACTACCCCTTTGAGATCCAATGTTTCTCAGCACCTAAAGATCTGACCTTTTGGTAGACAATTCAGGAGTGTTTTTGAGCAAGCTTTTCCCTTTTGCTCCTTTTGTTCTCCCTACAGTCAATTGCTTCAGCGGACATGGATTTGAATCAGCTGGAAGCTTTCCTCACTGCCCAAACCAAAAAACAAGGTGGCATCACGTCAGATCAAGCTGCAGTCATTGCAAAATTTTGGAGGAATCACCGAACTAGTATCCATGAGAGCCTGATCAATCAGAGCCGCTGGGATAATGTCTTGAAAAACATGAACTGGCGAGTGGATCTGAAGTCCCAGTTGAGACACATCGATCAGATAAACACTCCTGTTGCAATAGTGGAAATGGAAGTGGGAAAAAATGGGCAGGTAAGCTTTCTTTTGCAAAATATATAAACCTGATGTAACTATGTAAGTGCTGAGACATTTTACCTGTTGATGAATTCACTGCACCCAAATCAAGTCAGTTTATTTTTCACCACTGGGCCTTTAGTGTAACTTGAAATTCTGGTCCATCTCTGGATACAAAGAAACATTCTGGGAGGAGAATGCAATTTTTCCTTTTTCATATGTCTTCATACATGTATTGACAGCACTCTTTACATTGTTTGAAAAATCGGAGGATGTAGATATCAAACGTTATCTTGTAATTCTGTTTGTATTCCATGTACTGTGAAGTCAATTAGTCTTTTTTTTTTTATCAAACACTAAAATTAGGTAGTTTCAGTGCAGTGTAGAAACTGGAAAAGTAAAGTTAACAAATTATGAAGATCAAACATCCCTTACATTTTAGAACAAATGAGGGGAAAGACTCGTTTTTATTTTACATAACACCTATTTTTATGTTAGAAGTACATCTTTATTACCTGTCACGTTATGCAATCTGGCCTTATCTGTCTGAAAGATATCTCTCTCTATATATAGATCTGTCAGTGCTGAACACTGCATATCTTTTTTAATCTTCATAGTTTATTTGAATGTACAGCTAAAGGCACGGCTTCCCATCTTCAGTTTTGCTGTCATTTTCTAACAGGAAATGTGTTTCAATTTGGTATCTTTTCCCTCTGCAATGTGTTACTAAATTTTAAAACCTCATTTCTTAGCAGTAGCTACTGCAAATCACATCATGAGCTAATTTAGGTGCTTTCGTGTTGGTAGTTAACATTTAGCAAGTTTCCTTGATATACTAATATTTGAGTAGCTTATAGCAAGAGTCCCTGAATTAGGAATACCTCAGTACATGCACACACCTGGGATATACCCGTGCATACTGAATGATTGAATTGAAACTGCCTGGCTAGACCAAGAGCAGAATAATATACAATAAAATACAAGTAAACTGGGATCCTACAGAGAATGTATATGTTGTTGTAGTGATTCTGTTAGTTCACTTTTCTTCACAGTCTCTGAAAGCTTATCCTTCCTGAGTGCAGACCCTCTGCCTTCCACTCGTGGATCTCTGCAGTGACCAATACAATAGTGGTGTGTGGCTTTAGGTTTTTTCCTAACCTCAAAGAAGTGGAGTTTTCTGCTCAGAATCTTGAGACTGGAAACATTTACATTCTATTAGCAGCAAATGGAGAAAGTTGTTCCAAAAAAAGGTTACAGGGAGTCCATTATAATGAGTACATTGAGTACATTAGTGAGGAAATGGGAAAAATACCTATGCTCTTTAAAAAACGCATCTTCAACTCAGAATCGCTGTTGCATTTCATGAGGGAATTATGTTGTCAGTGACTCTTGGTTTGAAATTGGTTTTTCCCCCAGTAATGGATTGTTATGGTAAGATCAGTGAGTGAGTCCATTTATATTTCCTTCACCCTGTGCAGCGAGAGTGAGGGAATGTGAACATGGAGGAAGAATGCACATTTCTGACGTACTGTAATTTCTCTTTACTGAAGAGCCCCACAACAGAATCAAAATGAATTATTTTGGCAATGCGGCTTAATATTTCGAAGGGAAGTGGTTGTGTGAATGCATGTTTTGAACTGCCATCAAACACAACTTTTGCCTCCTTTGCTGAAGACAGCAGTGAGCTGTCACCAAGTCTGACACTTGGTGCAAATTAAATAATTTAAATAATTAAATAATCATGGAGCGATTAGAATTGTCACCACTTGAGTAAGAATCTGTTTTTATTTTAAGGAGCTGTGGTTTCACATAGTCTTTAACTTTGGATTTAGTAGGTTCTTTTCTGTAGAGCTTTTGGTTGAGGCAGTCTGCACCAGGCTACATGCTCATGTGATGGCATGAGTTTTGGAAACCCCATATGTGTTTGGGGACTTCGTAGAAAGATGGTTGCAGAGATTACTTTTGGAGGTTGAACAAGTTGTTGTTGCATGCTGGATCCAACCTACAAACTTGAAACTGTCTTGTCTTTATAAACGTATTTTTACTTTATTGGTAGCACATTTGTCTGTTCTAAAGTTCAAGTTTTGTAGCACATCAAATACACATGAAGTGGTACCTTTCTGCAACTTAACAGAGAATATGTTTTCTAAAATGTCAGTTATAGATGGAATTTGGTGAATAGCGAAGTTGTAGCTTCACAGAAGAAAGCTGACTGATGATTCAGGAGTAAATTATTCACAACAGACTTTTCATTTGGACACTTGATAACAGGGGAGTATACAAATGCACTGATATGTAATGAATTGACCTTAATATTTTATGTTTCCACAGAAGCAAAAAAATACTCTGTAGAAAATGTACCTTTCCAGAAGTCACTCTGATTCTTCTGAATGTCTCTGGATTGCATTTAGATCTCTGCCCAGCAGAAGATTGCATTTAGATCTCTGCCCAGGCTGTTTTTTGGTGGGGCATCTGCTCCTTCTGCTTCAATAAGTAACCTTGCTTCCTGCTTGCCACCTCTGAGTCTTAACCAGTTGGTTCTTTCCTGGTGGAAAGGCTCTCATTATGTGTGAGACCTAATATGGTTAGAAATGGGGAATTGAGAGTGACTGGTTCATCATAAATGCCTGTAAACTGAGTTTACATGAATTTTGTTGAAGTTCGTAAATGTTTTCTGACCAGAGAGAGTTATTTCTGAGTTTGAGAATCCATCACAACTTGCATTAATTCTTACTAGCCAGGGCATTACTGATAATAGGAAAAAATGAACCCTTTCCCCAAAGTGCTGTTAAAAACATTGTAATGAGAAACATTTGATAACGCCGTGCTCCGAACTTTGAAAAATTTGGTTCAGGGTCTGCAACTTGCAGTTTGAGCTTTTCTTCAGTAAAGCTTTTACAGCAACATTTAAAGTTTCCTTTATGCTGAAGCTGTGGTCTTTATACATCCTGGCTAAAGGCAGATGAACATGCTAGCCATGAAGTGCTCTGCTTTGAAACCCCGTTTTCTTTAACAATATGACTAAAAATAAAATCCTAAAGCAGTTGCACTTTAGCCTGCGTTTGCCTTCATCTCATGATATTCGGTGCTCATCACTGCCAGCCCATTCTTTGCTTTTGAACAGCCCATCTTTTCTTTGGCACAGTGGTTTTATCCTCCTGTACCTCTACAACTTGCTGGCTTTCTCTTGAGACATCAGTAGCTACCTGCCCCCTTCTTTATGTCGTGTTTAATCTTGTTCTCCCTCTCTGAGCATTGCTGGAAAGCTCTTTTGGCGTGAAATTTCTACTGGACATCAATCTGCCAGGAGGGATGGCGGAGTGAGCTGGAGCATCATCCTTCTCCTGCCCTTCCCGCCCCTCTGCACCAGTGCTGCTCCATATGGTGAGCAGCTGCTGTGCAGTGTTGGCTTACCTGCAGATTTCAATCACAGATTTATAGCTGACCTTGCCATTAATAGAAAATTAATGCACTGCTTTTGCACTGTGGCTTGGCATTAAGATTCTATTTAAACTTGTTTTATGGACTTTGCCACGTTACTTTCCTCCTGAGATGTGCCCCTCCCTCGGGGATGTGTTCTTCCCCAAAGTGTTGTGGGCTGATTTGCCAGTAAGTTTTACTTCCTTGCAGCATTACATATTTTGCAGTTTAATATCTGAGACTCATCAGATGTTACAGATTAGCCTGAGAATTTGTTCTTGGCTTTTTTGCTTTTTTTAACAGAGTGGGTATTTTCCATGTGTTTCTCTTCAGTGTTTTAAGATACCGGTAATCCACGCAATATCACTTCTGTTGGAATTTTGTTGGATGTTAAAGCATATTCTGTGAGAAAAGAGCATTTTCTGCCCTGCTTTAACAGGAATTTGGGATTCCACCACAGGATTCTTCCCAGAAAGACCTGAGGATATCACACCAGGATTATGAGTCAGAGGGGTTTTCCCCAAAACATTGTGTATCTCTTCTCTTTGTTTTTTGAAAAACATCTGCCTGACAAAGGTGTCACAACAATTAGTTAAGAATATACAGTAGGTAAATACCACTATATAGCAAATAACAAAAGCTACATATAAATTAAGAAATTAGGATTATTTCTTTCAAATTTAGGGACAGCCTTTCATTCCATTGTGTTTTTCTGGTCTGAAATGACCAGAGATATGTATCTTCATATAAAACATATAAAACAAATATCTTTCTTTAAAGGACATTAATAACAGACTTTTGATATATTGAAAATCTAACATGTAGTTCTGACTATATTTTGATTGTCGCTTTAAACTCTCCACAGTGAGATAAAATACTTTTTGATGAAAGGACTTGTTCGATGAAGTGCACCTTTGCCAGTGAAACAACATCCCTGGTGCTGAAAAAATAGGAACTGTCAGCTGGCAGTTTACCTTAGGTATATCACACCTGATCTCTACTAATGGCTGGGTCCAGACCTTGGCAATTCAGAGAAAATAATAATAATTCAGGTAATAATACTATTAATTCAGGTGTGGAAAAGGTTCATGAGGAATATAGACAATTGTCACGTGCTATATGTAGGAGGTAAAGTGCTACCAGGGTTTTGAAGGTCTGGAGCTTGAAATTCCATCAAGTTTTGGTTTGTATGACTATGAAGATTTAATTCTTTTTATGTTCTGGGAAGGAGTGAAGTAGGTCTGAAAGTAAACTTCTGGAAGATCAAAATTTTTTCCCCACTCATTAATTATGCCTGTTCTACACAAATTCAGGTTGAAATTTCTGTCATCTGCACTATAAACAAATTATGTTTGTTTACAGCATTCACACATGTTGACAAATATTAAAACTGAACATGCTTCCACAATGTAATAAAAAACCCTTAGAATTTATCTTCTAAAAATCTCATTACCTTGCTGGGATTGCAGACTGAGGATCTGGTTTCCCCTGGCTACAGTTATCCTCAGCAATAGCTGTCACCGCTGAGGAAAGGTCAGATCTAGAGAACATTATGAGTAAACTCATGCCATGGGGAGGAAGGATTATGGCTGCACTTG